AATTCCTAAGTCTCTTACTGATGACGATAATGATAGCTGCCATTTTGAGGGTTAAGTGAGAAACAGTGTACCAGGTCCTTTACATGTGGTATCTCAAGCTTCTCATAATAATCTCCTGAATTAGATATTGGTATGTCTGTTTCACCATTAAGAAACCAAAGCTTTGAGAAATATCGTGACTTGCCCAATACGGAGCTAAGTTCAACTTACTGGATCCCAAAGCCTTTGCTCTTTTTAGTACACACACATTACTGCGTTTTACCTGCAAAACAGCCATGGACAGTCAGAAAAACTATTGTTATTAACTCCAGTGGATGGACGAAGTAAACATTTGAAAGGATAAATTGAATGTCCCAGGGTAACATGTACCTATGGGCAGCATGATGAGATTAAAAGCCAAGATTCCTTACAATTTTCAATATGTTCAGGATGTAGTCCCACTATATGACTATGAACTTTAGAATTTTGGATGATTTAGGGAAAACCTACGACCATATAGCAGATATATGCATTGAAATGAAAATGCATTCATAAGGTGGAAGGACTATTGGGCTGTAAGTCAAACAATATGGATTCTCACCAGGACTTTAATAACACTATCTAGCCCAGGGGGGACCAAAAGCATATCTTTTCACCTACTTCACCTCTCTGTCTGAATTACTGTAAAACAAAGAGCTTTAAGCAAATCCATGTTCAATATTCTACAACTGCTACTGTTTGAATTTACTTCCACTGGTAGTTCATGAAGAACTGGTAAGAAACGATCTCACAATAATGATCACAATAAATGGACATGTACCAATGACTGAATTTCTCTGAAAATGGTAAAGATCCCATAGAATATGAATGATTAAAACCGTGAAAGACCAAATGGAAAAATCTCAATATTTATAATATACCTGTTCATTAATGTGTGAATATGATTAAAGTGAAATCTGACACAATTATGTAACTGCTACTTCTGTGCTTATGGAGTAAAAGAGATAGTAGTTATCTATTAAATATTCCACTTTCTAAGATGTGATTTAAAAAAAATACATGTAGAATTGTATTTTAAACTGTGAGTATGGTATGTTTCTGGACATACAGTTATTCCCAAATGTTCAAATTCTGGATTATCCATTACTTTCATATTAAGATGTGTCATAGTTTTACTTTAAACACTTTAAAGAGTCTCCTGAGATTTACTTCTCCCAAGCATTGGAGTATCATGATTATCATTAAAATTAAAGCTAGAGCTCTCTATATCAAAATAAGCATGACAGATAATATTAGTTATTATTATTTGCATGGCATTTCAGTTTACAGAATGCTGTCAGATACAATAATTTGTCAATGTTGTATATTATCATTATATCCATTTTGCAGATGAGAAAACTAAGGCTCAGTAACAAAACCAAGGCCCAGCATCACCTAGCCAGAAGGTAGAACAGATGGAATACAAAACCATGGCCTCTTAATTAGAGAATCTGTCTTTTTAGGGGTAAGGTAAATGCATATCTATTTTTAAAGAGAAAATAAAATAAATATTAAGAAATAAGCTGTAAGATAAATTAGACAGAAATGAAAGTTATCCTTATCAGTCACTCCATTAACAGTAAGATGACCCTAACTGGATTACTTTTGTCTCTTTTTGCCATCAGGACCCTTTTGATATGTTTGCTTGCTTTTCCCTTCTTACCCTTGCCTCTTTTACTCACATATGGTTCTTCACACCAATGCTTATGGCAATCCCCACCAGTGAATGGCCCCCCTAACTGTGCCAGCCATTGTTACAACAGCATCCTGCCTCTTTAGGGCCTGCTCATTCCCTATAACTCTCACTCCTTTTTCCCTTCAGTGCCAAACACCCTTAAGACTGACTCCCTCATCTGGAACAATGAGACCCAACCCAGAGACTCATGCCAACATATTGTAATTCTCCAACAAGCTCCCAGTGCCAAGAATTAAACCACATTCGCTCCAGTGCAGTAGCTTTACACACAAGCTCAGTTTTTTGCTTTGTGTTTATGTAGGGTTTTTTTTCCCTTAATCTCCCTTGAGCTGCAGTGGCAGAGCTGATTGAAAAAATCGAACAAGCAAAAAATATGTATGTATAATATGTGACTTTTTAAACAAAGTCCCAGGAGTTAGGTCATACCAAATCTACCACTGTTTATACTTTAATTTTGTGGCTTAAACTAAGCTGTGTTATTCCTGACATGTGATAGGGTGCACATTTAGGGATGAAAGTTGTCTTTTGGAAGGAACAACAATATGGCTGAACGTCAAAAATATACTAATACCCCCTTCAAAGTCAAGAAGTAAAAGCATGTGTCGATTATTCATATCATAGAATCAGCATTTTAAACCTGGAAGGAGCTTTAGATAACATTTAGATAAG